TAGGATGACAGTGGCGGAACCAGCAATGGCACCGGCGATAATGGCTTCGATGGCGGTGAGCTTCTTAGAAGCCCGTCCGGCACGGGAGGCAGCGGCCTCAAAGAAGCCGCGCGTCCACTCGTACCAATAGTAGTAGACAAAGTTGGTTACACTAATACCGAAGACGGCGCTGTCGAGCCCCGCGTACAGCCCCGAGACGCCCTCTCGTGCAACGATCTGTTTTACGGCGGCTAGGAAGGCGGTCTCGGCTCGCTTAGACTCGACCTGCGCGCGGGTAGAGAGGGTGATGAGCGGGTACGTCAAGACCATGGAGAGGATGCCGCCGCCGGCACCAGCGAGGGCGTGCGCGACGTTATCATTCTGAGGAACGGCGGGCTTAGACGACGCCATCGTGATTGTTGGTTTACGAAGTACCTCTGTAAGTAAGGGATGTCAAGATTATATCAATCTGAAGCTTTCCAAATGGAAATAAAGTAACAAGACGGGTTTGATTTGATGGAAAACGGAAAATAGAAAAGGGAAGAGGGAAAAGCCAAAATGCTATTACACTCGACTTACACGTCGAAATGTTGAAAGAGTAATAATAAACGGTAAGCGGCTGCTAGGTTAAAGCTTTATCAAGTTCAAATTGAAGTTGAGGTCCCATTGAAGCTGAGAGCCGAGGTCCGATTGCATTGCATCACAATGCGGCTAGTCCCCTCTGTCCAGTGGGATGTAGCCCTGCGATCCCCTGTAATCCTCTGTAAATCCACCTATGTAGTGTAAGCCCGAGCCGAAATCCGCCTGTAAGAGACCTGTAAGCATTTAACCTCGCCCCATCTGGCACGAGGTCGGCATTCTTCCCCATGCTCTTCTCCCCGGCTTTGCCCCGCATTCAATTCGTTAAAGAAGCTGAGACCTCCAAGTTCCCGACTTTCACATGCGAGATGAGATTGCTTGTTATCTTTCTACATATAGGTATCTTGTGATGATGACGATGATGATGATGTACTCACTAATTTGATGGGTTTTATGCGAATCAGGTCAGATATACCTGGTGTATTTACATATATATTGACTGAGATGATGCATCTTTATTTTATTTTACAAATTACATCACCAAGGACATTTATTTATACCTCCCTCAATCCATCGCTAGCCTTTACATGATACGTCAAAGCATTAGAAGGGACTATAAGGCTGACCGAGCTTAGGTAAATAGGTACTTAAATACTTAAATGCCTGATATTAGTTACATTCTAGTTACATTCTTCCTAATCTCAATCATCAACATTGACACCGCCCCAAAAGGCCAAATATGCTTGCGGGTATTCTTAGCAACGTCGCCCCTAAATTTGAGACAGCGCACGACAAAGATATCAGAGCGTGCCGTGATACAAGTTTCATGATGGCATGCAAAGAGACCGTGATAGTGGCTGGTGGTAGATGAAGAGATCATACCGTGCCCACGGAGCGCAGGTTTACGAATATCTACTACCCGGATCCTACTCTGCTGAAGAGATATTTGCCCAATGAACTGGTAAGGCAGACAGATACAGAAAGCCTACATAAGGTACCTTACCTTACCTTATGTAGGTATGTTTTACAGGAAAAGGGGCTAATTACAGGTATGTATTCTCAGTGCATTGAGCTTATGCACCTAATGCATCCGTATGCATCCGTATGCATACGAGTCACGTGGAAACGTACCCAAAAATAGCAGAGTTACCACGGTACATGCACAACAAAATCTCCCGGCCCATCTAAAACAGCCGTGCGCTCGTGGCACCAGCCTCCGCCAGCGCGCTCTCAAAATAGAATTCGGCATAATAGGCATTGGACACCGGAAGGAGGCTTCACCAACTATTCTGTCTCTTTTTTCCCATCAACTTTCGCCACACCCGCTTTTAACAGCTTCAATAACGCTCAAGACGGGAAATCCGCTACTGTTTTATTTTCCTTTCTATCATTTGACCATTATATTCCCTACTAGTCTAAACATATCTATTTACTATTCGTTACTAGTTAACTATTACGCACCGTCGTTGAGCGAACATTTATTATCCATCACTTACACCAGGCTTACATGATCACCTCGACTTAGGGGCCAATTGCGAAAGACAAGAGATGAGACAGACAATTTGTGTTACACACAGACGCAGACACAGACACAGACTTGATGAGAATAGTAAAACTACCTTATTTGTTACTCGTGTTGCGAAGAATATCAAGTCTATAACATTACCAACCATTACGTGAGAACCTCAGCCAGTCAAACGCGCCCAGCATCTTCCTCTCCCTATAATCGTACCTCTCCCCAACTATCCATGGGGATAATTGCGCACTTCGCTATCTTATGATATTAAGATGGCGCTCTCTACTCCAACTAGCAACGGTTCCCGTCGCTTTAACCCTCTTCCGTCTCCTTCTAGGAATGAGACTCCTAGGTCCTCAGGGCTGATAAGACCGACATTACCTCAAAGGAGCGTGACCAGTGCCTCTATTGAAGATGCGTACGTGGGTTTTATTCTCTACTGCAACCCAGCAGTACCTCTGGAAACGGATACGGCAGCGCTCAGAGAGGCCTTTCGAACTCCACCAAAGAGTGAAGGCAAGAGCTTCAGCACGTTTACTTTATTCGAACTCATCAAGCAACTACACTCCAAGGAACTCAAGACGTGGGCAGAGTTGGCATTGAAGCTGGGCGTCGAGCCGCCAGATCACGACAAGGGGCAGAGTTCTCAGAAGATACAGCAGTATGCCGTCCGCCTAAAGGTAAAGCATATCCAACTTATTCAAGAGCAGCGTGACTTACCTGTAATAGCGATGGATGCATTCCATGCACATCAATGCCTTCTTCGACTATCTGATGGATAACCCGCATCCCTATTGGACCCAGATCCCGAGCGATCCAAATCCTGTATGTGACGAGGGTAGGGATGGAGTTGCTGCTGAAGATGACATGGCCTTGCGTGCCTTATTACCTCATATCCGGCCGCGACGAGGTAGAAAGAGACCCGAGGACGACAGTTTTAGCAAATCTCCGTCGCAAAAGCCAAGGTTAGAGTCTCCGAATTTCAACGGAGAGGCTAGAACCGCGCGTCCGGACTCTTTAGATCCGTGGACCGCCCATCCGGACGGAAGAAGTGCCTTTATGTTTCCACCTGTTGATCCGCGATCGAGTATATTGCCAGAAACGAATTCTGCCTTCCCGTGGAGTAACGATGTTTCCCGTGAGCCTATGTCAGCCTATCCCCAATCTGCGATGACGCCGTCGACGAGAGGGACATTTTGGGGAGACTCCACGGAACCCCGTTCGGCCATTAGTCCGTCTAAAGCTAGGTCGCTCGGCCGTCGCCACGGAGCGAAGGTAGTTTCTTCCGCTTGGAGAAGCGGTGGCGTATCCACAAGTGGAAGGCCCCGTGGGAGACCTCCTAGCAGTCGGCCTAGCGATGGACCATTGTCAGCCATCCCAGACGAGCACAGCGAATTCCAAACAACACCTTTCGAACAGAGTACGCCCCAGTTAAGTACACCGCCTGCCCCAATGCACCCTCCAGATCCGGTATCAAAATCCGCCGGACCTACTTCTGCACCAACAACCGCACCAACCACAGCATTAACGACCACTCCTACCACTCGACCTTCTCGACCTGGCCGCCTCTCCCTGCAAGTACCGGAAAGAGCTGGCGGACCTGTCAGGCTAGCAACTCCTCCACCTCCGGTTGTAATGGTAAATGGAAAGAGCACGGTTAATGGGAGTGTATCCAACAGCACCGGCGGATTAACAGCTAGCCCCATAGAAGACATTTCGATATTCAACCATACCGCAAATGTGTTCATGGCCGGGCCAACCGATGATCCCACGGGCCCAGCCGTACAATTCGAATTCGACGATAGCGATCGGACGAACCGCGACGAGATGGAAACCTTGCTTGTCGCGGACCTCCTTGAAAGCACGTGGTACGACGAGAAAGGACAGCCTAGCCCGCCAGCTGACATCAACGAGGCACTTGCCCTAGCCCGGGCCATCATCGCGGGCCTTGCAAAGAGAAGCCGCACCTCGGAGGCATTCCTAATCGCTACGGCAGCACTAGCAGGCGCCAGGCACCTCCCTAAATCAAGTGGTAGTACAAACTCAGTACATCGCCTCGAAGTCGGCGTAGACTATACGCGATACAGCTACACGTGGGATCTGCGTTGCGGGCCCACGAATGCCAGATTCCGGTTCACAGAGATAGTGCCTCATGCGCGCTGGAAGAAGGGCTCACAGCATCGTGGTGAAAACGCCGATGTCCCAGCCGAAGGAGATGCCGCGGTGGAGTTCTGGCGCAGGAGGTATGCTGACCTCGTGCATATGGTTGGTAGGGGGAGGAGGCGCGAGGACGTGATGTCTGTTATAAAGGAAGGAAGGGATGGGGGATAGCGAGTATTCTCAAGGGTTGGCTTAGCGGGTTTGTGGATAATGTGATGTACCTAAGGTTGGGGTTGTGATGTATAAGTATCGCTTACGGTTTACGATTAATGTATGTACCTAGCCTAATGACGTTCTTGGGGGGACTAGGGCGTCTGGGTTGATTTGATGGTGGTGAGCTTGTTGAGGCTCGTGTATTATGTATTGTATATTGTGTATTGTATTTCTAAGATACCCCGAGAGATCAGGTAGTTGGGTGCTTTAAAGTAGTGAAGCGAGTTAACTGTATTGTGTGTCATTGTTTATCGATGTTTTGTATAACAAAATCCTAACACACTTAAGATGAGACCTGGGCATGGCTATAAGTAGTTTCATATGCAAAAAGACAAAGTTAGTGAGATGGCGACGTACATGTGAACCGGTCTGAAACTTGTGCCTGTCATGATAGTTTGACTACAAGTCTAAGTGTAATGCTCTTTCTCTTGGAGATGTAGCAAATTCATGATACTCGATATCTTTCTTTGTTTGTATTAGGTACTTTAGCGAATGATCACTGCCTACCTTCACGTACATATTACTTTACTTACTTCACTATCGCCAATATTCCCTAGAAACGCCATCCTAATATCGTCTTTCCCTGAATTTATACTATACGTGTTATTATATCGTATATTTTACAGAATGCTTTGGCTTCATTTCTAATTCTAACATTATGTCTGAAAAAACTGAACAGCCACGGGTGTAAGAGCTACAAACCTGATATCTCAACAGGGCTATCGTTATACACACGTAGGTATCGTTTACTAATATAATTAACCTAGTCGTAAGACCTCGATGTACCGCTACGATGCCTCGACGGAGATGGGAGTTCGCCCTGACGCAAAGGCACATATCGACCTCAACAACAACCCAAATGCTACGTCTGTAGCCCAACATCGAGTTTTAGGAGGTACCTAGCTAACCCAAGTCTTTTGATGAGGAATAGGATTTCAAACCCCTTAGCTAATATCCCTCGTGAGCATCTTCTCGATCAAGTCACTCGGTTTTCCGAATGGAATGACATATGCGAGTACGTTCCCCTTATGCGCAAGGGGGCTCTCGTTGCCAAGGATCCCGTCGGTTTCGAGGATATCGAGGGGCCGGAGGCGCTCGATGCCGAGGAGATTGAGGCTTTGAGGACCGAAGCCACACATAAATGGAAAGTCCCTAATCTCCTTTATCTAACCATATTCACCTGCTCCATAGGAGCAGCTGTACAAGGTTGGGATCAAGAGGGTACCAATGGAGCCAACCTGTCGTTTCCTGCGCAGTTTGGTATCGGTGGGAATTCAGACCGTGATGTGCTGCTCGTCGGTCTCATCAACTCGGCTCCTTATATTGGGTCGGCACTTATAGGTTGTTGGCTTTCTGATCCGCTCAATAACCGCTTTGGATGTCGAGGAACTATACTTATTTCTGCCATCATCTGTTTGATAGCTCCTATACTAGGAGCCATTACTCGGAATTGGGAACAGTTTTTAATTTCGAGACTTCTTCTCGGTGTTGGTATGGGAATCAAAGCCGCAACCGTACCGATATATGCTGCTGAGAACAGTCCTGCATCTATTCGCGGAGCCTTGGTGACATCGTGGCAGATATGGACTGCATTCGGCATCTTCCTTGGATGCTCTGCTAATCTAGCATTTGGTCAAGTTGGCAAAATCGCCTGGCGACGTATATATCACCTCTTGTGGCCGTTAGTCTTTATTTAGCTAATACATTCTCTATGTAGTCCAGGTCGGTTCGGCCTTCATCCCAGCAATTCCTCTAACGTTCCTCATCTTGTTTTGCCCGGAATCGCCGCGATGGTACATCAAGAAAGGCCGGATTCGAGATGCTATAAAATCGCTCTTACGACTTCGCAACCATCCTCTCCAGGCAGCTCGCGACCTTTACGCTATCTATTTCCAGATAGAAATCGAAGCTGAAACCATTACCGACTCTACTTACATTGAAAGGGTCGTCCAGCTTTTTACAATCCCTCGAATTAGAAGAGCTACCTTGGCCTCCTTTGTGGTTATGATAGGCCAACAGATGTGCGGTAAGTCACCCAGTATGAATCGCGAGCATCACACATTCGGAGGCTGATGCATAATAGGTATCAATATCATAGCCTTTTATTCTTCTACCGTCTTCAAAGAAGCAGGGGCGTCTGATTTTAACGCCCTTCTTGCATCTTGGGGATTTGGTCTCGTCAACTTCCTCTTTGCTTGGCCAGCCATCTGGACGATTGATACCTTTGGCCGGCGCCCCTTACTCCTTTTCACATTTCCCAATATGGCGTGGTCGTTACTGGCTGCCGGTTTATGTACACTTATCCCCAAGACCTCGGCAGCCCATACCGGCCTGGTAGCGCTATTCGTATATGTGTTCGCCATGTTTTATTCACCCGGAGCGGGCCCCGTTCCATACACGTATAGTGCAGAGATATTCCCGCTCTCGCACCGCGAGGTTGGTATGGCGTGGGCTGTTGCAACTTGTCTTTTCTGGGCTGCCGTACTGTCGATCGCGTTTCCAAAGATCCTTGCAGCTACGGGTGTTTTGGTAAGTTCGATACAGAATCTTCTTCCGAAGTCGCAAAACCTCTTGCGCAAGCGTTATATGGAGATACTAGTCTAATACGGTGTTACCAATCAGGGCGCCTTCTGTCTATACGCGGGGTTTAACATCACAGCTTTCATAATGATCTTCCTATGGATGCCCGAGACAAAGCAGCGGACTCTAGAGGAACTTGATTACGTTTTTGCCGTGCCTATGAGCGTGTTTATCAAATACAATTGCAAAAAGGTGGTCCCATGGTGGCTCAAACATTACGTCTTATGGCAACGCGGGGCTGGTCTCGAACCCCTTTACCACTTCGACAGACACGACGACGCTGCTCCACCGGATTTTGTGGTACAGGATGAATCGACAACTGACAATAATACGGGGACTACTTTTAACACTAGGGTGTGTGTTACTCCCCAGGACATACAGAGCAGTGCTACAACCACCGGTACCGACGCTGTTGATGTAATTTATCGGGCCGAAAGACAAGTAGCTGTATCCCGCCGCTTCTCGTGGCACGGCCCTAGTGTTCACAGACACCCGGCTCATGCTGACACATACCCTATATATCCTTTGTAGACATCCAGATGACAGCCTTTCTCTGGACCCAACTGTCTTACACCACTTTGTAAATAGAGGAACCTAGATACACTCGGTTAGGTTAAGGAATCTCGTAAATCATAGCTAAGTATAATAGCTTAGAAACGACGATATACCTAAATTTGAGTATCCAGGAGGCTTAGATGCTGTTGTTACATAAAAATCTGCTCAACCGATAGCCTTGCTAACTACACGACCCCCACATGGTAGTGGATGGCGAGCGATCCTAGCAGCCTAACCTAGGTGAATAGACAGCCAGAGTGTTGGTATAGTAGGCTGATGTCACACTTACATAGTCTGGCATTAGTCCCACCGTAGTCTAGATACTAGAAAGACATTCGCAAGGCGGCGTGATGACGATCAGCGAACGTGGCTTGCCCGGCGCGTTTTGGAATTCCGGCGTCGCGGCACTTGCGTGTCTAAGTGGATTATTTTTGATAATGATTTTCAAAGTTAGCGGGCCCTTTTTATCTTTATTATTTCGTCAGTGCCTTTCCGTGGTCCGTGGTTCGTTGTCTGTTGTCCGCGAAGCATGGCGCACAAGATTGGCGAAGAAAGCTTGATCATACTATGCCTGTATGCGTCGTATCAATAGTGGCTCATTGCGATATCGATATCGATCGATCATCTCCATTCCAGCCATTCTTGCTGTTCAGCTGGGAGAAGCTCGGATCTCAAGATCTGCATTACCACCGCCTTTCCTAGTTGATAGTCTCCAACCTCTTGCGGTCCCATTTGTCCGTGCTCGTGATCGCCCTGGTGGCAGCTGAACAATGAACTTGGATTATTCCAAGGCAGAGATTTTCATGCCTTCATGCCAACCTTTTAGGAGAAACTATCGCGCACTACTACTCGAGGCGACACGGTATGGTATTACCCATATATACATAGTAAGTTATAAGTTGATTGGTATTTATGATAGGTATACAGTACTTATGTTGTGGTTGTGTTATCGTGAGTTAGAGATCGACGTGGTACTCGAGGGAAAGGAAAAGGGGATTCCTTTTTTTTTTTTTTTTTTTTTAATTGGGACTCGATGACAACCAAGATCTTGAACAATAATCTTCCTGTGATCTTCTTGTGATCTTGTACAACATGGACCCGTTCGTCATTTCCACTGATCAAATATGTGTCTGTGCATTAGAGAGAGGTATCAATATCAATTAACTGCTAGGTACATGTAGATTAGTAATTACTGGCTCATGTTCAACTGCAGGACTGATCCAATTAACGTTCACAAACGGCAAGTGGGATAAAGATAAATTTTCAAATTTCGCCTCCCAATTTCTGAAACATGGGATGATGACCGGGTGGCTTAAAATAAATTTATTGCCGTAAAGAGAATAGCGACATACCTAGGCAGGTAGTTAACCAACTTTATTCCGTGCCAAGCTTTTCCCGCGCACCTGCTGGTGGTACGTATATGCATGCTGCCACAAAAGCTTCCCATTGACTCGGGTAGGTTTTCCCGCAGTTAATAACCCGGTAATAGCGATTGGCCAACCACAGCAGCTGCACGCCATTAGCATCCAATCCCGCTGAAACATCTAGATTCGTTACCCCTGGATAACGTCAATGGGACATCCTTAAGGTAGAAATTTATCTGGAAGGTCGTGAACTCCAACGTGAATACCTCGAGTAAAACTTTGTCTAAAACTTCAAGGGATAGAAAGCTTCTAGGTACACTTGAGGATGAGTTACAACATTTTAGATGTGATTAGGTACAAGGGAGTGTTTACTTTCTGTGTACCTCAAGTACAAATTATGTACAACGGTAATGTCTGATAGCGCCTTCCACCACAGAACTTGAACTCGAACCCAGGTAGGTACACATACATATGTAGGTAGACTACTAGGTTAGGTACCTACCTTGGATCGATTTCCTGGTGGACCCTAGTTGCCCTCGCAGCCTCGGAGGACGGGACCTTCCAACGCGTCAATCCTCTCCACATGATACAAACCCGCAATCGGTCCTTACATGTATATCATCTAGTCCAACGAACTGCATCCTGTCGTCTGGACTCGCGATCTTTTTTTCCCCCCTTCTCCCTACCCTCTTTTCACTATATCCTCAGTCTTTAACAAATTCCTCGGTTCTTCTCTACAAGCATACTATGCTTTAGATCCTTCTCACCTCTTTTACACAGTAGATACAGGGCCGTCAGTCTTTCGTTTTGCCTGCCTCTTTTCTTCAATTCACATACTGCCTTCTCCTAAAGACCCTGCTGTTAAATTCCTCTTTGTCTCGATCCTGATCTTTCAAACGCACCGCTCTCAACACCCGTCCGATCGATCGCCTAGTGCCATCCCGAGGAACCAACCTTGTGTATAACACACTCGCTTGTATACACAGCAGTACCCTATTTTCAGAAAAGGGAAAAACTCCCGAACCACGCTGCCAGGTTACATCCAGAATCTGGACAGCTGATTGCCTTGAATGCGTTAGCACTTTACTTACAGATCTCCCTACTTCGATGTCGATCCGTTCCCCAAAAGGGTTTATGCAACTAGGTGGCTCACGACCAGACATGGACAACGAAATCCCCTTGACCCAAGTACGGAGCAATGCCAGCTCGACTGGTGCTAGAAAGCCCAACCAAGGCGCTGCAACCGGCTTGAGCACCGAAAACCAGAGCCCTGTCGACAACAATGAGAAGAATAGCTTCTTCCATCGTGGCCGGAGGAGAGCTAACAAAAGCGAGGCCTCTCGGGAAAACGACAGTCTAGTCTCCGAGGAAGCATCTCTCAATGCTATGGGTAGGTTTTACAATAAACTTATCCAAGCCTCGGTTCTCACGCGATATCTCGTTTACATTGTACCCGTTGGTGTCCTTTTGGCAGTTCCTATGATTGTTATCCGAGCAATCGGCCAACAGGACACTCTTCAAGCTGGCCACGGCCCGCGGCAGAATGATGTAAACGAAACTCCCGCTATATATGCGCCCGGCCCACGCCTCATTGACCTATTCCTATGGATAGAACTGGCGTGGCTGTCCTTATGGGTTGGAAAGGTTGTTGCCCACCTTTTGCCTCCCGTTTTTATGTTTTTTACCGGTGTTGTCAGTGCTGGCACTCGCAAGTACGCAATTGTCATTCGTGCGCTTGAGATTCCGCTGTCACTCTTCTTCTGGGCGTTGGCGACCTTCTTTATATTCACAGGTTTACTTAATGTTAAATTCAACGATGTTGAGTGGGTCCAGACGATGCGAAGAATCTTGGGTGCGCTCTTCGCCTCTTCGGCTGTTTTCCTCGTCGAGAAAGCTATCATTCAACTCATCAGCGTCACCTACCACCAGCGGTCCTTTGCCAACCGGATAAAGGACTCCAAACGGGAAGTTTACCTTTTGGGGTTGATGTACGACGCTTCTCGACAACTGTTTCCTATGTACTGCCCCGAGTTCCGCGACGAGGATGAACTTATCAACGATAGTATCGAGATGCTGCTGGCTGGTGGAAACAAGGGTAGAAAAAACAGGAAGAACGGAGTAGTTACACCTATGAGGTTGATTGGGAATGTAACACGCATCGGCGACAAAGTTACCTCTGTTTTCGGAAATTTGGCCTCGGAGATTACTGGGAAGCAGGTCTTCAACCCGAACTCTGCCCACTCAATTGTGGTAGAGGCGCTCGAGAAGGTTAGGACTTCGGAAGCTCTCGCAAAGCGTATTTGGATGTCGTTTGTCGTAGAAGGCAACGAGGCTCTATTTGCGGATGACATCGTCGAAGTTCTTGGCCCCGGACACCGCGATGAAGCTGAAGAATGCTTTGAAGCAGTTGATGCGGATGGAAATGGGGACATCAGTCTCGATGAAATGATTAGGAAGGTAGTTGAGATGGGAAAGGAGAGAAAGGCGATAGGAAACAGTATGAAGGATATCAGCCAAGCCTTGGGCGTGTTCGATCAGGTCCTCCTGTTCATTGTCCTGCTGATTGTTATCTTCATCTTCCGTAAGTTGCCGCCTATAGTTCTATCTTGTTAAGCTATCCAGTTACTAACACGCCGTTACAGTTGCATTCTTCCAGAGTTCCTTTATTACCACACTCACAACTGCGGGCACAACCCTGCTCTCGCTTTCTTTCATTTTCGCCGTCACGGCACAGGAATTCTTGGGTTCTTGCATTTTCCTGTTTGTCAAACACCCCTACGATGTTGGTGACAGAGTCGATATCACGGGACCGGAGAAAGAGCAGCTGATTGTTGAGAAGATTTCTCTACTTTACACTGTCTTCAATCGTATCGACAGGATGCAAGTCGTTCAGGTGCCGAATATTGTTTTGAACAATGTCTGGGTCGAGAATGTTACCAGAAGCAAGGCTATGAAGGAGGGCATTGACATCAACGTCTCGTATGATACCACTTTTGAGGACATCGAGCTTTTACGGCTTGAAATGGAGAGATTCGTGCAGGCCCCAGAGAATGCCCGAGATTTCCAGCCCGACATATCTATTAGTGTTGCAGGTGTCGGCGACTTGGATAAGCTACAACTTAAAATTGCTATCAAGCACAAGTCGAACTGGCACAATGACGCTATCCGCGCTACTCGACGCTCTAAGTTTATGTGCGCACTTACTCTCGCTTTAAAGAAGGTGCCTATATATGCACCTGGTGGCGGCGGCGAAGCGTTGGGTGGGCCTACAAACCCCTCTTACTCTGTTAGTGTCTCGGATTCGGACGCTGCTGCTGCTCGCGACAAAGCTGCAAAGGAAAAGGAAGAGGGCCGACTGGTGCCAACAGCACCGGCCAGAAACCCTTCGACATCTAGCAGACCCGGCAAGCCGGAGGATAGAGAGGTGAAGGCTGCACAGCATCTAAATACCCTCGACCCCATAACGGCAGCAGCCGACGATTGGGGTTATAATCGCGACGACTCCCCGGATCCTCGCGGGGATGCGATAGAGCGGAAACGCTCAACTGATATAGAGTCGTTACGTTTGGATCTTCATAAGCACGAGAGTCAGCGTAGTGGTCGTCGGAGAGCAGGTGAAACTTTACCTCCCCATCCTATAAGCGAGAACACGCCAAGCTTTCAGATAACCCAGCCTACGGGCCCCTATGATGAAGAGGCACAAGTAGGTGTACCGCACCCGTACAGTACCCAGTCAGGAAATTCACTATATCCTCAGACGTCCAGCCGAACCAATCAGTCAGGAGGAGGCGGTGGACCT